CTCATCGGAAAGTTTTGTTCTGATTTTATCTTTTATCTCATGTAATTTATGTATGTCTTTCTTTCTCTTTAATATAACGCAGAATTCGTTGGCGACTTTAATCAAGGAATGAATCTTTCAAGGTTCTTAATGAAAAGTCTATAAATTGCAGCGATCGTCCTGCAAATATGATATGACGTGATCGATCGGAATATAACAAGAAAAAAGTATAGAGTATAGCATAGCAACATGGTAGCATGTGTTATTGAGCAGATGATGGCTGAAGCGCTCAAAATACTCAAATACTCAAAACACCGTAAGATACTGGAATGCTCATCGATTGAGTAAAGTGATGAAATCATCACCTGCAGGATTAGTTGCACTTACTAAAATGCTGTTGCATATAGTTTTCCAGAGACCATGGATTAGTTAAAGTCGATTGGTTTAAAATTTCTCGCATTAAGCCATTTAATAAGGAAACTAGGGGAGCATAAACGCGAACGAAAGCCACCGGTCAAATGTTGCGATTGCCGATGTTCACGTTAAATCAACATATGTTATAACTATGGGGACATTTCACAGTGTAAGCAACACAATAATAGTAAAGCAACACATTTCGTTTACTGCTACCGGATTTACACAGCGAAAACGCACCACCCCGTTTCGTTTAGTCACGTGGGGATGCCGTCAAATACAGCCATTGCGTGGTAGCCATTCTTAAACATCGGGATTAAGCACTGTTGTTGTGTTTGCATATCGACAGTGGCAGCTGTACCTGTTGTACGAACACACTCTTGTTCTGCCCAACTCAGAGATGTTCCGCATGAGTTTATCATGGTATCCATGTTATGGCGTTGAGACGTTTTCAGATGGTGCATCAAGGCGACAGGAAGCAAAGGAAAGATCCACTTTAGTCATATAAATCCGGTATCAGTTATTAAAATGTAATAATTGCAGGTGATATTTAGAAGCCTCTCTCTGATAGCTATCAAAGAACGCCGAAATTATGTTTCGCATTAATCCTTGTTTTAGTTTATGAAATTGGAATGAAAATGCGTAATGGCTAATGGCACCGTCCTTTTGATTCCAGTCCTCTTAGGGTGGTTAACTTTGCACGCCAAGGATCCATGGTATTCAGGCACCCGCGGCGCATAGATGCAGACCCGTGCAGGTTCGAATAATGCCTTTATGACGCCTGTTAATACGCCACGACCTGAAGGCCTATTTATACACAAAATAAACACCTGATCTTATAGGTTAACGGGCATGCTGCTAGTTGTCGATACCACCGTTGAGATGTTAAATCCTTTTTTAATCTTTTCGTAAAGCTTTTGATACCGGATTGAATCGGCGAACTGCAGTGATGATGCTGTTTGCATCCATACACTGGAGGTGCTCAAATTCCATAGAGCGGCGGCCTGCTTATATGGTCGCCTAGGTGATGGTGTTCATAGCCATTACGCCGCTTCAATCTGGTATCAAAACTAATAAAAAAGGATTAAATATCTCTGCGCAATATAACTATCAGTATGATAGTAAACCCCTAAGATCGAGTGATATTTTAGTGCATGTTTTGCACTATCTTGTCTATACAATATTTGAATAAACCTTCTACATTAGTAAGCTTTTACCACTTCAGACTGTTTAATTGAATTACATGTTACTGATAGGAATACTGATCTATGACATGTTCACGTACTGGGTGTATGAACTCGTATTGCTGACCTCTAAGAATATTATATTTTGTTTATGCGTCAACAAAATTGTTTTGATTTTACGAGCGATCAGACTGTGGCGTTGCTGTAATCCAGATTAACGCTTAACATCTTGCATTCTGCACTCCATATTGATCAGTTTCATGAACTGTTATCATATGTCGAAACAATGAAGAAATACTAACTATTTAGCAGAGTCGTTTAGCTGATACTCATTAGAGCGGCCGAAGCATTCCTGCACTCCGGCGTCTGCCCATAGGTGCTTCATTGCTGTCAAAACTTCTTCGGTAAACGGCTCCGTGTCTTCCATTCGCGACACAACGTCCATGACAAGTTTCGCTTCAGGCTAAAATACCAAGTATAAAACGAAAGGAATGCATCTCATGTACCTTTTTGCTTAGTTAGGCACAAAGTCAAAAACAGGTAATTATTAAATAGTACTACAAAATAAATTAAGTTGTGAAAAATGATTGAGTCACTCTGAGAGAAACATCATAACGCAGATAATCCAAAACTTGAGAGTTTTGTGAAGATTTCATGAAAATCATTAAAATGTTTGAAAACAGCACTTATTAGCAGTCAGTTTCGCAAAAACCATAACCTGAAGGTGAAGCCAAAAGAAACAAGAACAGAAGCTAAGCAAAATTTACAAATATGAATAGCATGTTGCAAGCGAGCGCAGAACTTTTCTTCAACACAATCACTCGGCAAGCCAGAACATTCAAGACTATGAAAAATTGAAAAATACGAATAAGAGCCAGAAAATTTACAACAGCACGAAAAGATTGCCACGTGGTCTGTGGAAAGATTTCAACAACTAGAGCCAGTTTTCCGTTTAGCGTGATATCGGTTGTTTGGAATTAAATATTTCGACTCTACCCGTAATGCTGACGTAAGCAATGGCACATAAGGACACACATTAGGCTTCAGTAGCGACTGCAGCGAATTGAGACCTGAGAATGACAGCTTAAAAGCGGTACGGAATGCAACCTAGTCTCTCCTGAATACAACTAAGCAAACCATAGTTGGTTGCAACAGATGCAAAACAATGAGACTGGATAACAAAAAACAGGTAGCTGTAACTATGCAAAATTCTGGAATTGAGGGCCAGATCTGAGTGCTTGAATAAGATCGATATCGATTACTTTATTCTAACTGTCAGCAAAGTGCAGTATCGTTTCTTTACAAGTTCATGCTGGCACAGCATCAAATGCAAGTTTATTTTAATCCAGAGCCATCATTTAGTTCTGCTTGCTAGAACAAAGGCTGTTGACTAAAATCACGGCAGTTTTCAGACCACCCGTTTTCCCTACCGCACTAAGTTTTCTGTATTTTCAGAGGATGCGTTGGCTCAAACGTTGCCTCGTTCACAAGCTGTGTACAAGGGACAAAAGCTTCCATTGTTCATGATTTGTACAGCATGCCGTATACTCGCATTCGCCTGTGCATAGTGTGCGTCACGAATATTTAAAAGATCAGTAATCGTTTCGAAATCTTACTTTCAAGGTACGGAATGCACGTATATTACCTATGAAACGAATGCCTTATTATTCATCTAAACATTACTTAGCAATATTAGAGCCCTCTTAACGATGATTTGGAAGCTAGCTTCTATTGATTCGTTTCTTTGTTTGTACAGTAGGTCTATCTTCAATTCATAATCCGTTGTATATTTCTGCTGTATGCATAGGTGTTATCTTCGTACCTCGAACTGCTGAATGGCAGGTACTAACCGTCTTTCATAGCTGCAAATCTGACTTGACTGTTTATCCATCCTTTGACAATTTACCTATCATGTCTGCCGTTTTCAAACGTTAATAGGAAAGCATGACTTTACTGTTATCAGTTTTAAAGAACCGTTTGAGTCTAGCCTTGAAAGTAAGCGCTTATGGGCCAGCGATCTCATCCCGTACGATAACATGATTGATCTTCACATGCAGGCGCTGAAACGACTTCCTCACATGAAAAGCGAAACGTTTGGCGAAAACAGGTCGATATCTTCAACTTGCAAGTTGACAAGTTTCGACCAAGAGCTGCATTCTATCAACACGTCATTTTGCCAACGCGCATGTCCTGAAAATATGCGCAGCCGAAGCCTTAACTGAACTTTTTCTATCAAATTGTTTAGTAAACAAACGATTGAGTAAACTTGAGTGAGCTGATACTTGGACAAAGAATAACTCAGGTAGTGAGACGTTCAGGAAGTTGCTATAAATAAGGAAAACTCAAAAAACTGCTGAATCATCAATAACGTAGTTATATCAGACTAGGAATTTCATGCTGATCCAAATATGACAAAAAAGCTGACAGAAATAATCTATTTACGTTGAAAATGAACCGACATTCACTAAATGATCCCTACTTCACACATAGTATGATACAAAATCATTTGAATAAGAGTACCATGCTTGTATATAAGTTATGCACCTAAAGCACGTGTGAGTTTAACTACTAAATGTCCATGCTTTAGAGGGGTTATTTGCAATGTGAACGTCACGGAGACGGTGGCGGAGAGTATAGCCCATACTCACGCTTGTTCTATAAATACCTTAAGCAATTGATCGCCTGAGCAACGATCAACCGTCAACAACTAATTTGTCACTAACATGGAGTGTTGTCATCGTTCAGAACATCAGATGAGAACATGAGAACAGTAGAC